GTGCAGAGCTGGAGCAGAGGTGCAGCCTGGCCACGGGTCTCCCCTCGCAGGGGCCACGCATGCCCCAGGGACCCACGAGTGGGGGTCCCCTGCACCCCTCAGGGACCTGGGTAGCTGGGGACCAGAGGCAGTGCTGCCTGGAGGATAGGGGACAAGACCAACTGCTGGGATGTGGTGCTGATCTTCTGCTGGGTGAGCTTGGGCAAGTCAGACCCCCTTCCCTGCCTCAGTTTCTCCATCTGCAAGGTCTCTGCAGACCCCTGTTCCTCTGAGCATGTCTTTGGTGAAGGGTGCCAGATCCCATTACCCAAAATGCAAGTGGGAAGCACCTGGGGTCAGGGTAGCCTGGCCTGTGGCAGGGGCTGGTGCTATCTGGGAGTGTACCTGGGGGCTTAGACCGTGTCCTGGAGGGTACACAGGCATTTAGGGGGGTTGGGGAGAACTTAGAGGAATCTGGAGGTCCTAAGTGAGTCTGTAGGGTTCTTGAGGAGTACGGGAGGGGGCTTGGGGCAGTTAAAGGGGCATGGGGGATGTGCAGGGGGCTGTGGGGATCCTAAGGGAGTCTAGGAGGGGGTTATGGGTGTTGTGATGCCGTGAGGCGGTTCCTGAGGCAAATGTGAGGGGGAAGCAGAGCCACCCCTGCCCGCTCCCATGCCTGCGGGGAGTCCCACGTGATTTATGAAGCTAATTGGTTTTTCTGCCCCATTAAGTGGCGGAGAAGGGGAGGGAGGGAAGAGCCCTGGCTGTGCCCACACTTTCCCCACCGGTCCTGCCAGAGCAGCACGAGGCTGTGATGGGGGACGCTGGTGGCATGTCCACAGAGCCCCCTCAGTGCCAGTGACCCACTGATGTGGGGTGTGGGGACCCCCCAGCGCAAGCCCCATATTTCCTTCCCTGCAGCAACTACGGCAGAGCAGGAGGAAGGGGCCAGGGCAGACCAAGAGGGGCTCGCTTCAGTCCAGGGTGGACTTTAGGCAGGCGGTGGGGATTCGGCAGCACCAGCCTGGCAGGGACACAAGTGCCGGGAGCCCTGGCTGGTGCCAGCAGGTCCGTCTGGCATGCAGGTGGGTGTCTGTGCTGCTGTGAGACAGGTGAAGCAGGGAGACTTCGAACCCTCCAGCTCCAACAGCAATGGGCTGGGGGTGCTCCTCTGCGAAGGCATCTGTACCAGTGCTGGTGCCAGCACCGGTGGGGCTGCTGTGGCTGACAGTGATTCTCTGCCATCATCTCGCATCACAGTCCTGGCTCTGGTAGGGTCGAAGCTGCCTTTCCTGGGGGCTGCTGTGCCGGGCTGACTCTCCCCGCCACCCTGGATGCCTTGAATCCAGATTTGGGCCCAGTGAAAGCCAGAGCTGCTCCTCCAAGTGCTGCCCGAGCTGGCCATAGTGGGGCCAAGGCAGCTGGCCAGGAGAAGGGGAGGGAGGGGACTGTGTCCGGCGTCATGCCAGGCCGGAGGGACCACGGGGATACGATGCTGGACAGGCTGTGCCGCCGCACCCATTGGCGCACACCGACATTGAGGCCATCACCACACAGCGGGGCTGGCTGCCTGCGGGAGGTACCACACCACGCTGAGGCGGTGTCACCGCTGGCCTCCCAGCTGTGAGCTCCGGCCAAGGGCCGAGAGCCACTGTGGGGATGGTGGGCGCAGGCAGGGTCAGATCAGGGGGGAACGGGGATGGTCGGGCACTGAAGTCTTGCATCCCTGGCCCTCCCTGCCGCGCCATGCCACAGCACCTCGCCTTGCTGGGGCAAGCACCGTGTAGCTGAGTGATGGGGCTGCGCGGCAAGGAGGGAGCCAAGAGGCGTTGCCGTTGCTTTGCCGAGGAAGGCGTGAGGAAGGAATTACTTATTTCCCAGCCCACAGGGACTGGGTCTCTTTTGCCAAGGCTGCAGTTAACCCTCTCTGCCTGCCGCTGCCGGGCTGGCAAAGGTGTCCTTGGTGTCACTGCTCTGATGCGAGAGAGAGAGAGAGGAAAAAAGGACAAAAATAGGCTTTTTGGCTGATGAAGCGCAGAGCAGTGCAGGCGCGGGTGCCCTCGCAGGAGCTGAGCCTGCTGGGTGCAGCTGTCTGGCCCCCCGAGGGACCCACGGCGGGAGGTGGTACCTTCGGGGAGGGGGACTGGGGGGGTTTGGGGGGCGCTGGGGCCAGGCTGAGGGATGGCCTGTGGGGCACTGGTGCCACATTGTGGGCTGGACTGGGCGGCACTGGTGTTGCCTGTGGGGACATGAGGGAGGGCTTGGGGGTAGCTGGGGGGCCCCGGGCTGAGACTGGGGGGATGCTGGGCTGAGGCTGGGGGGCAGCAGGGACAGGGGTGGGCGGTCATGGGCTGGACTGGGGGGCACTGGAGCTGGCTGTGGGGACATGGCCGCGGGGCTGTGGGCTGGGCACCGGGACAGGCGGGGCTGGGAGCCGGGACCCCAGG